GACAGGCAGATGTCTGGCCCCCCGCTCCTCGGCTTTACTTAGCTTGATGATGAGGGTGGAAGAGGATATATACTGGGTCAAAACTACACTTCATTATCCCAGTCTTACTTCCAAATAAGAAAGAGGAGGTTTGTGTAGTTAATAGTCTACAAACTTGTTATCCCCTGCCAAGGAAACCTAAAATATCTCTTCTGGAAAATGTCTTCCTTCTTTGATTAACTCTTACAGACTACAACTAAGATCTTGGATCTTAAAATAAGAATTAGATCAGTTTCTAGAATATTCTGTTACATTGCCAGAAATATTTTTTTGATAGGCATATCTGATAGATGAATTCAGAATTTGCTTTTGTGAGTTTCAATCTACTTCTCCTGTGTTTAAAAGTCTCATGTATAGAATACAATGCAGCATACAGTGTTTCAGGGAATAGTTACTGTAATATAGCACAATAACTCATATACTCTAGTGCACCCCAACTTAATTTCTACCCTATGTCAAATATAATATTAAAAAGTAATGATATTCAAAGAGGAGGAGATCCCATGGAAGGGTAAGTGGCTAATGAAAATGTCTAGAAAGTTAGGATGTAAAGCAATAGCAGACATTTGGAAGAGAAATCATCATGCTGTAGATCATTAGCTAGCAGCTGCTAACAGGGGTTAGGAAGGAGCTTCCACTATGGATGGGTATTCCATGACCTCCTGCTATCTCTCTTACTTGTCTGTGAGTTGAGCAGCTGATACTGGCTGCTACCCAAGGCCCTGGACCACAAGAGTGATTTGGGAAAAATGTAAGGATTAATTTTATTCTTTTTCTTAATTTTTCAATTAATCTACTGAACAAGTTACTTGCACCTAAGTGGTTAAATTTAATAAACACTAAAATAGCAGCATTTTATACCAACAGATAGACCGAACTGAACAATAACAAATCAATATTATTTTGGTCATCTGTCAGATCATGAAACCAAGGCATAGATGCTTGGAAGTAACTTGTCTTTCCATGCAATGGAAAAAAAAGCACACCTACATCCAAAACTCCTGTCATCTGTGTACCTTCTCTACTGGATCACATCTCTCCCCAGTACTGTGGCATGAAAACAGAAGTGCCTCTGTAGCGTTCCTTTGTTATGACAGTAAATTGTATTTCTTTGTAATTCATCAACCTAGTGATGAACAGTCTGAAATGAACTAGAGGATGACACAAGATGAGGGAGGGGAGATGAACCTTACCTGCCAGTATGTTTTTCTTTATCTCCTCCAAGAAATTCTAGTGTTTTCTTCTGAAAGAAGAAACAGGCATGTTCTTCTACCAAAACATGTGGAACATCTGTTCCTTATAAAATATGGATGATAATTCTGATCCTACTGAGATAAGCAAAACAGACTACACATACCATAATTTCCTTTTCATTATCCCAAGCAATGGACTTACTACTTTTTGTTTTTAAACATGTACCTTTCAGAAAATCGGTAACCTTCTGTTCCTACTGTGCAGCTTAAAGCTGTTTGTTAGGGGACACTCAAGCATCAGTGTTAGTTATGGTTGTCAAAATCACGGCTCCAGAGGTGCAAAATGTCAGTCCAGACTTTGTTTGCTCCTTTGTCATATGCATTATTGAGGTCTCCTCCACTACACAATTGTATAGCCATCCTACATATCCCTTACAGGGTACAGATAGTGTTGACTGGGTTATTGAATATGTAATATTTCTCCATATTCAAAGTGAGGCACTTGCTATATATATGCATGTGCTATTTGCACATGTTCCAAATCCTCCTTCATGTTTCCCTAGCAGTACTTAGCACTTCAGGAAGAGTGCTTCACAAACATTTGATCACCTCCTCTCAGCTCACTTCTACATGTGTTCACAAGAGTTCATTATTTCTCTGATAAGGAGCCGAGAGAGAGTCTGTGGACTAATTTCTCACATTCTTTTTTTCTTGAGGTGCTTTCCAGTTTTCAGGGAACTTTATAGCTTTAGGAAACAGTACCAATTGACTGAAGTTAGTTACACAGTCAAGTCATAAGTGGTTTGTGACCAAATGTGAAATATTTAGTTATTGTCCAACTTCACCTCTGTTGCTGAGGTTGGGGGAATTAGTCTTCAAGGCAGCAATCTGCTGCCTAAGCCATAAAACTTCCCATAAATTGACTCTTACAGCTTAGGCTCATACCCTGAACATCATCCATCCTCTGTGCTAAATGAAGTAAAGGCCTTAGAGAACAGGAGAAAATAGCAGCCATTTAATTAAGACAATATCATAATGCATATGTGCAAGAAAAGTAAATCAAGATTACCTAGGCAACTGTAATTCTGGCCTCTAGAGCCTTGCTTTAACATAATTTCATAGCTTAAAATATTTTAAATTAGGTTTTCTGTATATTTCTTTTTCACAAATGTGTTATCAGAAATACCATGTAAATCTGTTTTGCTAATCTCCACTTACTGCAATGCAACATTTTCTTATGTGGATTACCTACTGAAGGCTAGTATTTTCTTGGCCACCTGCCTCTTTTTTCCTCTACCAATCTCTTGTGTGTATCCTCCACACAACTTGCCTGTATTCCTAACTTGAAGCTGTCTATGGTGATCCGAGGTAGATACAATCAGTAAAATATTAACAGCTTTAATGTATACAGTTAGTACAGTTCAACTCAGAGTCGACCTGGAAAATGTAACAATGCTTCCTTGACAGGTTGGTAAAAGCTTGAGAGATCTGATAAATATGACTATGCTCCATCCAAAGCTCAAGTCTCCTCAGTTCCTAAAAAGCCTGTACTTCAAGCCTTCTGGCTTTTCAGTAGCTGCAGATTCACAGATTCTTATGCTGTTCTATAAAGAATTTTTACTTTTGAAGGGTTTGTTTCACTCTAGGATGCAGAATTAATTTAGATTAATTAAAACTCCCTTTCTCTAAACTCAGATTACAAGTTACCTTCCCATCTGAAACCCTGGGACTTTGGTGTTTGAAATGCCTTTATCCCAGCACTGTATAAGCTTCATAGTCATATCTACAGAACCGATAGTGCTAGGAGCATTCTACTACTAAAAAAAATATTACAAATTTCAAGGGCAAGCAGCTCAGGTGGGGAGAGGCAGTGGATAAACTTCTTTTTTTAAAAGTATGCCTTCTGAAATGAACAAACATTAATAACAGCCTGGTGTTCTAAAGGAAGTACTATGATTATTCTCTTCCTTGGTCTGAAAAACAGGCTAGCAGCCTTGTGAAATTTTTATGCTTCAAAGACTTCTATAGAATCTAAACTCTTAAGTTTCACAGTATAAGCACTTGTGTATAAGACTAGTGTTGATTAAAAGTTTACTGATAGGAATCCTGTCCTGAACTGACAGAAACAAACAGGTTCTCATCACAGAATACTGTCTCTGTTAGTCTCTCTGCCACCTGTGAAACCACTATGTGGGCATCAGTACAGGCTGTTCCATTTCTCCCCATCAGGAAAAAATACAGATTGTGTAGATGGAAATTGCATACTTGAACATCTGTACTTTCAGACCGTCTATGTGGGCTGAGATTAATTAACATCCTAACCTGCTGTGGTTTAGTCCAAATGATGGTTCTGTCCAGCATGAACTGGAAGTCAGCAAGAACCAATTTAGTGAGATGTAGCACTATTAATTTCCATCTTTCAAATCACACTGCTTAAAAGGAAGAACATTCTGACAGGTGGCAGCTAACAGTACTGCCTTTCTGTTGTTGCCAAAGTTTCTGTGGCTCATTCACAGTGCATTGAAGAAGAAACCTAAGTGTTCCTGGGAAGACTGGCTCTTGGGTTTGTTGTTTCTTGTTTGGTTTTTTCTCTCCATGCTGCCAGAGAATTTCCAGGTATGTCAAAAAGGGCTGCCAGAGGGTTTGTCCACTTGGTTTAATTAAAGACACAAACTTACCCACTGTAGTCCTTTGATGCATTTTAGGTACCAGTCTGAGCTTGAGAGAACAGGAATCACTTCTTGGTTCTGCCACCACTTTCCTGACTAAAAAAAAAAAAACCCCAAACCCCCACCCCCCAAAAAACCCCAACAGCTTTTCAAAATGATAGTCTGTGAAGGTGTGGTCTTGATGCTGGGATTACATTTTAACACACTAAGAGGTGTTTCTACTGTTTAAATAACCACGGTGTAAACAGTTATCAGTGTAAAATTGCTCTTCCTTGAGAGGAAGGTACACGTGTAACCTGAACACAATTTGTTCAACTAGCTAAAAAGAAGCTATACCAAATGGAGTTTGAATTTTAAGAGTCAGCTCCTATTCAACAGGAGTTGTCACTAACTTCAAACAGATCAAAACACAAGTCTTAGAAACCAAGTAGGTTTCACAGTGATTTAAACAAAGCTCCTCCATGATGTATACTGGAAAGGAGGATTGCTTGTAAGAGTAACGGCCCACAAAATGTGCCACACTGCTTACTTCCAGCCCCCTTGTGAAATGTCTCTTGTGCTGGTTTTATGGATGATGAACTTCATATGCTATTGCTCAGAGAGTCAGCACCCAGGGACCTTTCAGGAATCTTTCCAGTCAGCTTTAGATTAGACCATCTTGAATATTAAATGCAAACCTGGTTTTCAGCTAGTATACTGAGTAAGGTACCATTCTGAGCTCTGCCACAGGCAAACTTAATAGCTTCTCTGAGCTTGACTTTGTTATAAATGAAATAGAATCAAAGATTGCTTTTCGTGCCTGCCTGGAGTGAAAGGCAGTCTGAAACCAAAAATCTCTGGAAAGGGTTTTATCCCTCATGTATACAAAAGGTGCACAGTGTGTTTGACAGTCCCAATGTTATTGTAATATTCTATTAAATATTGGTAGAATTTTTTTCCTCCTCTCATTCACCATAGTTTTAAGCTGAAGTTAGAAGCTCGCTATACTAACTGATTTGAAGTGGGTAAGTGAAAAGAAAAATTTGTTAATCCACTTATATAAGAGTTTGACTATCAATTTTGGTCTCGGATATTTATCCGTTTCCATGCTCTCTTGCAGAATTCTTGGCCCAGAAGCCCTCGTACTGCTTCAATCTGACATCCATGCAGGATTCAGAGATGATCCTTGCCGCCACTTTTCACTTCTATGCTGACAAACGCCCTCGTCACCGAGAAGTGTTTTGTAAGCGTTCCAAGAACTCCTCCTGCCGCCTCCTTCACCTGCCTCCAATCCTGCGGCTCAACCTTATTTTCCAAAGCATTCACCAGAATTCTGCCTATGGACTAGTGAAAGGAAACATCACTGTGTTTATTCAAAGGCGAGGGGCTTGGCATGCAAAGGACATTTCACACGTTGTAAAAGAATCAAAACGGTCTGGAGAGCTCATTCTCTGTGCTGAGCTTGATTCTGGGGAGAAACACCAGGGCTTCCCTGAACAGGTTGCCAGTCATTTACCTTATATACTAGTTTATGCCAATGACCTTGCAATCTCTGAACCTAACAGCGTGGCAGTCACCCTACAGCGTTATGATCCATTCCCTTCCAATGATGGGGACCCAAATCTATCCCCTAATGCTTCTACTGATACCCGAGTGAGGAGGGATACGTATCTCTCTAGCTCTATTCAGAACAATGAGTTGCCAGAAGTAGATTATAACAACAATAAATACAACAAACATGACATATGGGAGAATGCCTACAAGTCCTTGAAACCAAAAGCCTCACGTAAAGACCGAAGGAGAAAAGGGCAAGAAAATACAGAAACACTTACAAAGTCTCAGGTGCTAAATTTTGATGAGAAAACAATGAAGAAAGCACGGCGAAAACAATGGAATGAGCCAAGGATTTGTTCAAGAAGATACATGAAAGTTGACTTTGCTGATATTGGCTGGAATGAATGGATCATATCTCCCAAATCATTTGATGCCTACTACTGTGCAGGGGCATGTGAATTTCCAATGCCCAAGGTAGTATGCTTTTTTATTGTTGTTAGCTTGCAAACAGCAGATCTACTGTTCCGCCTATCCAACTACTTTAGTTAGATTTTCCTTTAAATTTTTACCTTTTTCACTGTGTTCTGTTTCCTTGTTCAGTCTAAATAATTTAAGCAATATTGTTTCCATCAACTTACTCGTCAGAGTGCAAAAAGATTCCAAGTTACCTTTAAATGTAATCTGAAGAATAAGATAAATGTCTCAGGTTTGTCTTACAGTTTTTGATCTTATATCTTGAAACCATAACGTAAAGACTTATGCAGCTTATTAAAATATGGTTACACACACTAAATCATCAAACCACTCTGTTGTGGTAGTATATGCTTATTACCAGAGTATTTCTGAATTCCACTGGAAATACCTTAGGAGAAAAATGCAGAGCAGTGACACTGAGGTATTTTTAACTTTTAAGAAACTGCTTGTCACTTTGAAAATAAGAATAATAGTTAAACTGATATTTGTGTCTCAAAATTCTCTGGTGCCTTTTTAATTTACTAAATTCTTAAAATTAAGCTAATCCTGCTAGAACAAAAAAGTTTATTTACCTTATGTGGCTGGAAATGCCACATAGTTGTTTGTAACACTATATAGCTAGCATAATGAATTCCTCTTATAGAAGCAGTGTGAAATTTGCTAAGAGAAAGACAAACATAAACTCCTGCTCCAATGGAATTTAGATTTGGCCTACTCCCACTCACTTGCTCTACGGGAAGAAGCAGAAATTTTGGCAATCCTATGTAACACAAGAATTATCAGCATTTTATAGAGCTTTCAAGTAATGGGGGAAGAGAGGATTTGAAGCATTGCATAATCTGCGTGTTTAGAAACTGTAATTACTTTGCAATTCTACCTACAAATGGCCTGATTTTATATTCTACTGGCATTTTTGCATGTGGTCACTCACATAAACAATGGATAGTGTTTTACACCAGAGAATTTAGAAGCTCTAAGACAGGAATCTGCCTTACTTTACATTTACATATAGAGAGATTGATGTATGTTTGCATTGAAATAAGTAGTAGGATTTCAAGATTGCAGGCTAGTTTAAGTCCAGGAACAGTGGAAATCCAGACACCACAGTAGGGTGTACATATCTGACCACATGTTCTTGTGTAGCTGGCCAATGCTGAACCATGTATACATAAACTGATAAATGATCTGGTAAAAATTAAAGGTTGCACAGGCTCACATACAAATTTACTCTTCTGTTGTAGTATAAAGAGTTCATGCAACACAATTAACATTTAATTTATCCAAAACAAAACACAGCCTGGGAATATGGGTTCTCTGCTGTAGACCCACAGTCTAAAGCACCATTCATACATACCAAAGGAGGAAAAAAAAAAAAAGTTCACAGGACCAAAAGAGAATGGATCCATTTCTAGCTGGAATAGTAAAATAAGCTTATATTGCTGACTTACTTAATGTCTTATCTAGAAATATTACTTGCTATATAATAAAGATTCCCTTGTAAACCAAGAACACTTACTTTAGCTCTCATTTTGATACTTGTTTTCTAGATAAATTAATGTGGCTGCAATAGCATCTTGGTGCCAAAAACCAAACCAAAACAAACAAACAAAAATCTAAAAATCAGATAAATTTAAAACTAAATCAGAGATACATAGATTTGTGGATTTTTGGTTTGACACACTCTGATTAGGTTTGATCTGGAAGAGGTCTACTTTTTGTTAGCTTTGTATTTTTAAGAGGGAAATAAAAAATAGAAGCAGATTCACAGTTGCAACTTTTTAAAACTACTCTTTCTGAATCAACAGAGATAACTAGGACATCAGCATGAATGAAGCTTCAGGTGAAAGCATAAGAAATGCTAAATGTTATGGAGGGAGATACAGCTTTTGTTCTTCCATCTATACCCTAAATCAGGAAAGCACGCGAATGATATTGGCACTCCTAAGTCAAAGGCGAGATTAAGGTCATTCATGAAGACACAGTCAACCTGTGATAGACAAAAGATACCTTATTTCCAACATACTCTTTTGGTACAATATTTATATACCTGGAATGTTGAGAATCATCACATTGTATGATTTTTTTTTTTAAGTATCGGTACATCACTCTGCACATCTACTTTAACTGCAATTCTTGATCCAGATACAAAACAGCTCCGGTACAAATCTTGTCATAGCAAGTTCACCTACATTATTGCTGAAATTCTTATTTCCTGAACTGTGAGGGGGAAGACCAGCTTATGTGTTTAATAATGGCTGGCTGTACTGCTGCATTTGCCAAATAAATGCTAGTCCTATGTGTGGTAGAATTAGGTGGGAACATCTCCTTCCCCTGGTCTACAGTAAGTAGAATTCTCTTGATTTCATCCTTGTAAGTCTATCAGTTCATGCGTTTCATTTTGAGAGTTGAATTAAAACCTGAAAATAAAACTTTCCTAGAGCTAAGAAGTATTGCTTATTAAGATGGAGGAGAGTGGTGGTTTTTGAGTAGCAAATTCATGATAAAACAGATTTTAAAAGGGGTGTAAACCAGGCAGAAGGAGAGGGTCTAAAGTATTTCAAACCTCCTGCTAAATTGCTTTTTGGCTACATCACCACCCTTCTGTTTTTTGAGGCCAAAAATGTTCTTGAGCTAGGATTGTCCTAGAGGTTAAGTAAGAGCAGAACCCGGCCTGCTGTATGTAACTTAGTAGCCAGCGTATAAAACACTAGTGCATCCTCAGTGCCATCTCTACTGGACACTCAACTCTATCTCAAGCTTTCCACTTTAGCACATCGGTACAAAGGCTAATGTGAATCCTAGCCCGTGATCACTGAACACTTGTGCCAGGTTTCCAGAAGGGCTGGAAAATTTGGAGTCTGTCTGGATGTGGGCTGGGTGTGCTGTCTGGCTCTGCTGTGGATGTAGGGCTCAGGCAGCCAGATTCTGTACAGACTAATCGTCCATAATGAGTGTTTTTCTCTATAAGTCTTTTTGTGCATAGTGTATGCACTTGCGGGCATTAGAAGCCTAATTAGCACTGTTGTCTTGGTAGACAGCTGCTCGTGCTAGATTTTGCTCATATCTATTTGTTCCTTGCAGATCTTAGAGACTGTACAGCTGAAAAAGATCCTAGTAGGCTGAGAGAGTTGTGACTGCTCAGCCTGGAGAAGAAAAGGCTCCAGGAGAGCTTATAGCGGCCTTCCAGTACCCGAGGGGGCCTCCAGGAAGGCTGGGGAGGGACTTTTTAAAAGGATGGGTAGTGATGGGACAAGGGGTAATGGCTGTAAACTGGAAGAGGGTAGATTTAGATTAGATATTAGGAAAAAAATCTTTACTGTGAGGGTGATGAGATGCTGGAACAGGCTGCCCGGAGAAGTTGTGGCTGTCCCCTCCCTGGAAGGCCAGGTTGGATGAGGCTTTGCGCAACCTGGTCTAGTGGAGGGTGTCCCTGCTCAGGGCAGGGAGGTTGGAACTAGATGATCTTCCAATCCATACCATTCTATGTTTCTGTAATTTATATCCAGGAATCCTGTTTAGTCAGTAACTGGCACTGCAGGCAATGATGGCTATCCACTGCATGGGGTCAACAAATTCTGTGTCAGTAGCACATTAGGATCTGTGACTGTTTCAAATAACAATATGAAATGAGAAAGGTGCTAGAAACACTTCAAGAGGTTGTTCATAAAGGTTAAAGTAAAAACTTGATTCTGGAAGCGCTAGTTCTTTGAATTTCTAAACTCTGTAGTTGCTGAAACACACAAGAGCCGCTTCTGTCTCTTTCTTGCTGTCCAGATTTGCTGACCTGGCCAATGCAGGTAGCAGCTTATTTCTACTTCACGTAGCGGCTGTGAGAGACTAATTCACTTCTGCTTGTCTGTGGACAGCTTTGAAATCTAAAGATGAAGGGTGGCAGGAGAGAGCAAGCTGTTGCTAATTATGCCAACATATGCTAATTACAGAAAGGCACTTTCCAGGATTGGTCACTTGTTGGGACTTGGCTATAGGGATGCTGTCTTAAAGCCCCAAAGGATCAAGGATGGATTTGACAGTTCCTCCTTGTAATGGCTCAGGTGAGGTCGCTTTAGTTAAGGAACATCTGAAAGCCTTAATAGCAATTAAGAATTGGATCTGATTTGCTGATATATTACACTTAAAGCAAATGTATCCAAACTGAATTATCAAAAAAAATGGCTCCTTTGTTATACTCATGGACTACATAACTTTTCATGTTGAAATGAAAAATCATGTTTTGCATATACTCAATTATTATTTGAAAAATATGGAAGATATAGGAGATATTAATACTTCTCACTTGAAGTATCTGCTTCCATGTGGAAGTATGCAAAGCCCCTATTTGTTGTCCCACAGATGTCACTTTCCACCCCATATACAGCTATGTACCAATAGTGATGAAAGATTTCATGTGCTGTGTATACCAGATCTGTGCAGAAACTCATGAAACTGTAGCAAAAAGCCTGCTATGACTAACACAATTTTCTTAGTGTTACCATACTAATTTGCTGGGACAGTATTCAAGCATGACAACTGAACAGGAGTCAGTGAAGCTTCAGCCTCAGTGGTGGGTTCCATGCCATACCATTGCCTCATGTAGCTGGAGCACGTGCATTCCATGCTCCGCTGAAGCAATGACAAAGAAAGGCTGTCACTCTGTCACCAGTAAACCTGTGCTTGATTGTATGTACCTCAAGCAACAGAACTGGTGAAAACTGTTTAGTACTATTTAGTTGCTCAGACTAGCAGAGTCAAGTGTAGGTTGTTGATAAAGGCTAAAAAACCCCAAAGAGTTACATTAACTACTGAACAGTATACCATTTACATATCTTAACTTTTTCCTTTTCTTATTCGCACTTCTGTTATGCCTAATGGCTGACTCTTCCTCTCAAGTATTTTTCCTTGTGTTGTTTACTGCATCCAAAAATCAGTAGTACAAACAAAATTGTGGCTCAGTACCCTGAACGGTATATACATATATATATATATATATAAAGAGTGTGTGT